GCATAAATATCTGATTGACAACATCTGCAAGCAAGGAGGAGAAGGAATTAGGTCTTGAGGGAGAGATGGTACAGGGAACACATAGACAAAGGTTCAAATGGAGGATGGGAAGGGACATAAAAGACCACTTAAAGAGCTGAGGTTAGTCCAAATGGTAGGTTCCTGAACCGGAACACTCGACTTTGAGCAATAAATAACTGTAGATGATGTGGGTATGAACCCCGAATTGTAAATTACAAGGAGAGTATTTGGTTTCTAATATGAAGAATATAGGAAAAGGAGCCGAAGCAAAGCTCAGCCCTACGAACGGGAAAAAAACAAACATGTCAGTGATGTAGCAAAGCAAAAAGAAATTAAGTAATACACTGAAAAAAAGTAGGATTATAAGGCACATAGTTAATACTGATGAAAAAAAAATTATCTAGATAGAACAATGAATTAGAATTAACTAGTAACCTAGGAAACAAAGTACTTATCAACTGACAAACCATCTAAATTTATTTAGTCCACAAAGTATGTAAAAATAACGAATTTGCAAACCGACTAAAATTACCAAGAAAGCAAAGTAATAATCAATATCTAACTGACAATTCATCTGAACTAACTTAGATGACAAAGGACACATAAGTCCAACACTGATGATAATTGGGATTATAACTTAAAATTACCTAGAAAACAAAGTAATAATCAATATCTAACTTACAATTACCTAAATTAACTTATGACAAAGACATAAACGTATAACTTCCCAAAGTCCAACCACTGATGACGTGAAATACTTTATTCTCTCATGTGTTAAGAAGGACAAACCACACAAAGGGCATCTGAGCCATGCCTACCAAGGGTATATCCACCATGTGTGAATTGTACAAGTTGAAAAACGTACTACAGATAGCAAAATAACTCAAGTCTCAAACATACAGTAAAACCACAATATGTGTTGAATGATGACCTGATTAACTGGCTGTAAAAAAAAAAATGAAAGGGGAAAACTCCTGAAGAGGTGTAGTGTGTGACAGACCAAAATAAGAAGGTGCCAGAAAAAAAAAAAGAGTCCAAATAGACTTCACCTTGATTGTATGCTTTCTCAAAAACATTGTCAAGTGGAACAGATGAACAAATCACTGGCGGAACATATGAATCTAGCTCCTTGCGAATTAAGGTCTGTATCTCCTCTGTAGACAATATCGAACCTGATTACTGGGAAGTCTTACCAGTAGCATTTTCAACTGTAACAGGAATTTCCATAGTTGATATCTTGAATCGCAAATTCATATTAAGATCTCTTATAACTTGGGAACAATAAACAAGCACAAAAAAAATTGTTGAAACAACTGAATGCAAACACAATAAAACTATTGAAAAACAAAACAGAATGGTAAAGAAGCACAATCATAAATGGGAGCCACATGCAAAAAAACAAGTCTAAACAATGCTGTGCCAATCGAGAAGGTGAGGATTGAGTGGGAACAGCAGAGAGAGCTAGCTCTGCCAACTTAGGTGGAGCAATACTATTGATGGAGAGTAGTCACATGCTATGTAAATGTTCAATAGTGGCACAAAATTGATGGGGTATATGGACTGATGCTCTAAGCATGAAATTTCTTTTTAGCAATGCTTAGAGGGCAGAAAGAAGATCGAGATAGCTTAGTGTGATAATACCATATCAGTAGTGTCACATAAAAGAACTGATCAACTCTTTCAGTATGACTGGGTCAAAGTGGACTTATTATGACCTTTTACAGTGTTACATTCAAAATTTAATGAAACATCTTTTTTTATCAATGATTATTAATAAACTTGGCATCAAAATGTATTTTACAATTCAAAGTTTTATATTATCTAAGTTAATTTCTTGATTTCAAAAGGAAATATTTAAACAGATCTTCACTTCTCTGTGTCACATTTACAACCAATTATAACACAAATTATAATTCCAGGCAAGAATATAAAATTTGAACCTCGTACATATTGATTTGCAAAGATAGCAATACATCTATCAAACCCACTAAAAAGCCCAAGACCCTCCTATTTCATCATAGCTTTCATGGCTGTTATCAAAACCACATCCTTATTTGATTGACATGTTTATAACCTATATAAAATCATTTTTTCTTATTCAAAAACTTAAGTTGGTTATTTAATTATGGTAGGTGTATGTAGATCTAAAAACTCTGTGATCATTACTGTTCAACTGTGAGCAGCTAATTAAATTGTTTTAGCCTTTATAGCTTTGTTAGAAAGCCAGTTAAGTTATAGTAGTTTTGGGGCATTTTATTCTAGTACCTGATACATTTTATTTAAAGCTACATGAATGTTTAGTTAAACAACTAAATGAGTGAGAAAAAAAGTAGGGATGCTCTTCCTATTTCATTTGTATAAACTCTAGAACTCCCTAAATGATTATCAAAAGTTTTTCTTTTTTCAGTAAAACTTTATACTTCATCTTTTATTTTTTCTACCCTAGTAATATCTGTAGCAAATCATCAATGTGAATGAAAATTTGAAAAATATCAAATAAAATAAAAAACAATTTTTTTTTCTACAATGACTAGACAAGAACAATTATTTATCCCAGGAGTTTCAGGCTTCTTAATCTCTTTACAACTATTTTTATTTAATTTTATTGTTCTTTGAGGTATGACTAACTAGTGCAACAAAGCAATAAACTACCTAGTGAGAGCTTAGGGTAAAAAAGCAGCCTGCATTCATTCCTCCAAGAGAAATCACAATAACTTTTTGAACTTTTTTCATATAGGTTTTCTAATTTAATAACTTTCTAATTTCTACCTATTATTTATTTTTGTTAAAACATATGGTAACAAATAATAAATATACATAAAGACAAAACATCTAGCACTTACACTGAGTGGTCACAAGTAAATAGACACCTAATTTTTCATCATTTACCTGATTTATACAAACTAATTTGTGTTCACAGAGCACTATATAAATGAAAATGGTCCGCACACTAATTATCTTGTGCTACAACATGCCTAGAACTCAAGGTTCTCTCGAATTATCAGATTTTGTTAGAGGAAGGATAGTTGGTCAAGCAGATGGTGGAATATGTCAGCAGCAAATTTTGCAGAATTTGGGAATCCCGCCTTCGACAGTCAACAGAATCATCATGCAGTTCAGGAAACACGGCAAGGAAACAACTGAGCAACATCCAGGTCATCCTTGTCCATCGAAAAGGACAAAAAGGGCTGTCAAGAGGAGCATCAAAATGGATCCCACATTAACGTCTGCAGAAGTGGCCAAAGTTGGTGGGATGAGCCCGAAATCTGTTCAATGGATTCTCCACAGATTGGGTTATCGTTGCAGAGCATCTAGACGGAAGCCCTTATTAAGACCTGCCAACATAGTCAGACGAAAGAAGTGGGCAAGTGATATGATGACCAAGCCTCTGGACATTTGGAAGACTGTATTGTTCTCAGAGGAATCAAGATTAGCTTAATTTTGGGACAGTGGAAGGATATGGGTCTGGAGAATGCCTCACCAAGAGTTTTGGCTCAACAGATTGCAGCCAACTGTGAAGCATGGTGGTTTCAGCATGATGGTTTGGGTTGGTGAGAGATCGAGTTTAGTGGAGTGCATTGACAACATAAATTTTGCGAAATACGTCGAAATATAGGAGGAAGGACTCTTGCCACTTTATTCCTCGGGTTTCGTGGACAAGAACACAACATTGTTCCAGGAAGATGGAGCACCGTGTCACATTGCTAGAAACACCCAAAAGTGGCAGGAAGAAAATGGTATGCAGAAGTTGCCCTGGCCGAGCCAATCTCCTGACATGAACCCCATCGAAACCCTCTGGGCCATACTCGACCGGCAAGTCAAGAAACAACCAAAAAAACCAACTTCAAAGAGCAATCTACTCCAAGTTTTGAAGCAAGACGAGATGATTCTCACAATGCCCCAAAGGATCAACGAACTCCACGAAGCAAAAGTAAGATCTACTAGATATTAATTAAATTATAAATATATCAATTCATGTGAATATGACTGAAAAATTTCAATTTTTTCTGAAAAGGTGGTGTCTATTTACTTGTGACCAAGCTGTGTACTTTAGCCTTGAGGAGTTTTATACAAAGTGCATGAGTTAGTTTGTTTATTTTCTCTATGTTGGTTTTCCAAAATTAATTAATGCAACTTTCAAATATGCACTTTAGAACACAAAAAATATATGAAGCACTAAACAGAATGTCCCCAAAACTACTATAAATAGGTTAAAAATTTCATCAATGCTTGGAACAACTTCTTTAGTTTAAACATATCAAGCTCTCCTTGCAGATAATCAGCTGTAAACATTAAAACAGAAAAATCATTTGACTTATGTAGTTTAGAATATGCTCTTTCTATTGGTTGTAAACATGTCAAATAGCAATTTCAGGAAAAATTATAGACATTTATTAAACGACAGAGAATATGGGAGGGACATGTTATGTGGGTTGAACAAATAGTGACATCTCAGTAAAGCAAAATGATAAAAAAATTTAAATCTGATATTCTTGGCTTACCAGTATGTATAGTATGTTTTTCTAATTGGTTAAATAACTTGAAGCACTTATAAGGAAAGAGAACAAAATCCAGGTGCAGATTGAAAACTATTTATACATTCCCTTTTAAAATTCTGAAATTAAAACTTCCATAGAAAGATTTGAATTATTAACTATGTTTTGATGCCAAGTTTATCAACATACCTTGATAATAAAGTAGTTAACCCCTTCTTGTCAGGCTTCTCAAAAAGAGGCAAAAAGACAGGTTTTTAGTTCACTTTTTTATAACCTATATTTATATATTAATGAAACAAAAGTTCTTTTATGATCTGTTATTATATTTTGCACAAAATATACTAGATAAATATATGGTAGATATCTGTATTTATACGTAATATATATTATTTTAATGAAACTACAATAAAGTATAGGAATGCTTTTCTCCAGTGTTTATTGTAAAACATAAATATAATGATCTAATATTATCAAAGGAATTACATTAATTGTTAGTAAGTAAGATGCCCCTTTCTAAAAATCTGCCTTTGTATGGTACACTCTGAAACAAGGTGCAACACAAAGTCCGACATCACAATCTGGACAGTAGTATCTACTTTCTCGTCTAACTCTCTTTCCTTTGGAATCCCTCTGAGTACTACATACTGCACACTGTCTTGTTGGGTTAGTCTTCTTTTCTGTGGCTGGTATAATGTCAGGGAAGTGGCGTTCTGTCAGGCGAAGTGGATTTGGGGTTGTCCCTGGACGCACACCTTTTGAAGAGAATTGGGGTAAATGGTATTTTTCTATCATCTTTTCAATCACCACGATTCTGTATTCCAAGTGTTTCCTTTGGCCTCCTGTTTTTGAATACAAAACATATGAATTCCAAAATGCTTGTTCTAAAAGGTGGAAGAATACTTTTTTGTAATACTTCTTTCCCTGCATTCTTGGGATGGAATAGTGAGATAAATGTTGATCAACTTTGTCGACGACACCCATAGAGTCATTGTAATCAATGACTACTTTTGGCTTCTTCAGTTCTCCTCTTTTCTCAACATCAACCATTTCAGCATTATGAACAGTTGAAAGCAGGATTACATCTTTTTTATCCTTCCAGTGCATGACAGTGACCTTTCCACGCTGATATGCCATGATTTCTCCTTTTTTCAATTTTTTCATCTTCAAGTTTGGAGGCATTTCTTTTCTTACAAGTTTTACTGTCCCATATGTGTCAGTGGTGTGAGAAATAAGTATGTCTGCTAGTTGTGGGCAAGTGTAAAAACTGTCTGTTGTTAGGCAGTAGCCCTTGTTCAGTAAAGGTTTCAATAATGACATCACAATCTGTGAAGATATAGGAAGCTCTTTATAATCTTCATCAACAACTGCCGCTTTTCCTGTGTAAATTAAACTTGACCAGATGTATCCTGACTTTGATTCACAAAGCATAAATGTCTTGAAACCAAACCTGATCCTTTCTAGAAGAATGTACTGCATCCAACCAAGTCGTTCTTTGAACAGCATGAGACTGTCGTTAATGGTAATATCTCTGTCTGGTGTATACACTTTCTTGAATTTCTCATTTAGATACTCAAAAACTGGCCATATCTTATTTAGCTTTGGACTGGGGTGATTTTCTGGATCATAAGTACCACTGTCAGAGAAATGAAGATATTGTTTCAACATTACAAACCTTCGGTAAGACATAATTTTGGGGAAAAAAGGTGTGGTAATAAGAGGATTCTTGGACCAAAAAAGTTGCTGTTCAGGTTTACACACAATACCCTGTAAAATTATGATGGCAAGAAATGTGCGCATCTCATTACTTGTTGTGTGATGCCACTGACTGCAGTGAGATTGACAAAACTTACTTTGGTGTGCTTGGAGACACTGAGCTGCATAACGGTTTGTTTCTGTTGTTATCATATCTACTAATACATCATCAAAAAAAATATTGAAAAACTGCAAAATGTCTCCATTAGGGTCAATATTGATATTCAGTGAAGAAGCACCACAAAATTGGAACCTAGATGGAGAAGGGGAAAGTTGTCTGGTAGTGTCTACTTTGCACCATACCCGAGATTGTAATAAGTCAGCATCATTATTGTCACTGTCTAAACTACTCTGTTCTGAGACAGTAGTTTCACTTCCAGAAAAGTTGTTTTCAATTTCATCCCAATCAATGTCACTTTCAACATCCATTTCAGCAACTAAAAATGGAACACAAATAAAGCGAAAACTGATTTACAGGTTACAAATAGAAAAAGTGACTCTCCTACCAGAAAACAATGTATCCTACTGAACAGCATACTGGATACAAAATTCAGAATAAATCCAACAGACATCAGCAAAAACAGCATTACCAATGCCATCTAGCAAGCATTAATTGTAATACATGATAACAAGCAAATAAATTCAGGTAGATAATTAAAAATATGTCAAGAAATGGTTTGCCTGAATTAACTTAAACAACTATGTTTTGAAACATGGAAGGTGCCCGAGTTATCACAGGCAAGTCACAAAAGGAGTTAAATTAAACTTTGAATGTAACTGTGTATTTAAAGTATGGCTTTATTTATTACTTTCAATTGCCCAATCTTTAACTTTCCATCTGAATGAAAGAAGCAGCTTTGATGTCTCATATCCTGTTTATACACACTCCAATTATAAATTCTGAAGCTTTACTTTATTGCATTATTTTGGTTAATTTTAGGATTTATACTTTAAAAACTTTTTCATGGATGTGGAACTTCTGAAAAACTTTCTGCATCCAAGGGACAAAGTTCTAGAAGATCTACTTGTCCCCTCCTGATCCTACACACAAAAAAAATATAACTTTTAGGATTTTGCTTTGTTTCCAGGGTACCATCTATTCCAATATCAACAAATTTTATAAGTAATCTTAGATACTGAAATGAAAGGACAAGTCCAATACCATAAATAATTGTTGTATCCTACAGTCTCTTGTGCTTGTAAAATCTACAAGAGCTACAATTCACTGGCCTTGAAACTTGTTTGAGTGATTGCTCTCATAAATACTTCAATTAAAACATGGTAGTTTTATCACTGCTAAGTATTAATCTAGTGTCATTTTAACAGCTGGAACAAGTTGATAAGTGCTGAATGAAGAGTCTTTCTACTTAATAAAATACATAATTGAAAATTTAATAGTTATTATTATTTTCACTCAACTGGTATTACTTCTTTTTAAAATTTTTACATCAATAGTAACATGAATCTGACAGCATAATATGAAGACACACAATATGAAAATCAGTTAACTTCAGCTTGTTGACCCGAGTAATATTGTCATAGTTTGCTGTTTAACTGCCAGTAACATATCTCATATCAGTAATATCAGGATTTAGTTTACTTAATAGCTATAAATATTCACTGTAAAACATGCTATTTTGCCTGCTGCAATCATATTCCACACACACAGATAAAGAGTCCATGATATAACCTTTACTTTGCCATATGAAGTATAATAGTAATGTAACAGGATGTTTGTATTGAGACTGTTTTGGGTCTGCAGATGACAAAAAAGAAGCTCAAGTGATAATTCCAGTCTTACCTTCACAGAGTGACTTGCATGGCACTGAAGTAAAAGAGTAGCTCTACAAATACCAAACTTTCAAGGCACGTAATAGATAATACTCCTATGCAGCATATTATAAAAAAGATGTGATGTAGAAGCCTAACTTGTTTATTCATCATGTACTAGTATTTTCTTGTTTTCTGCATTTTTAATTTCTAAAAATTGTACACAACTACTAAGATTTAACTTAAAGGACAACTGTCACTTATCTATCAACATTCCCTCTAAAATATTTTTAACAAAGTATCTGAAATATATAATTACACTCACCTGATGTACCTTCTAACATAGAATCAGTATGTTGTAATTCTTTTTGAAATTCATTTTCGTTCGTCACACTTGTAATATCATGTTTTGCAATGTCTAGAACATTGTCATCATCACTCTCACTGAATTGGGAAGTAATGTCATCTTGTTGTAAGTCATCAGGCTGTTCAGTTTTCACTCTGACAAATATGTTCTACAATACAAAACATCACAAGAGATCAATAACTAACAACATTGCCACCATTAAAGCAGATAAAGAGTTAGTTTTCCAAGCTCACTTGTTTGAAACTAAGAAGAGCTACAAGTAGCATTTTGTTGTGAATTAATGTCTAATAAGTTTCTTCAGTAAACCACATAATATCATGACCAGAGAATTACTTGACATGGTTAGAAACAGTGGCTAGTGTTTTATTAATTGTATGCAACAATAATACTTTAAGTAGTTGTAATTAACTGTATTAGGACCAGTACAAATATAAACTTAGGGAGAAGAGAATTTTAGAATACAGAAGATAACAATATACTTTGCAGCACAGATTTTAAAACTAACTGGACATCAAGAATATTTTTTTCAGGGACCAGCAATTTTCTTAATAAAAATTATATTAAAAAAAGTCAAAATATACATGTTCAATGTAAAATATATATAAATATAATTGTACTGTCTGTTGTCTGTCCATGTAACTACTTCGTAGGGTGTGGATGGAT